TGTGTTAAGCTGCTGTTGCACTGCAATTTCCCTCACGGGATCAATAAAGTATCTATCTATCTATACTTAAGATGGCGTTGTGCTGTCACAAGGAAAACAATTGCACAATTCGCAATGTTAAACTTGCCTATACATTTTAAGTACGTTGTTTAATGTTTAAATTCTGAAACACAAAATGCATTGCACCAGGACAAATAAGATTAAACTACTTTGTAAAATGTGTAACAGTGAGTTTTGAAGCCTCCACTGGTTTTGAAGTGTATTGCACTAAGTATCACATAGCACACTGGACAAGAAGCTGTGCAAAGCTCGTTCTCTGAAGGAGGTGTTTCCACATTTATTCACACTGATCAGAAGCAGCTTCTGGTTTGCGTCCCAGCAAAATGATGGTCCTTTAATTTGTCTTTTATTCTTTTAATTTGTATCCAGTACTGATTAATTAGTTGAGTTGATTGTGATTTTAAAGGACTGGGATTTTTCAGGCTCAAGGTTGGGGACATCTCATCTGAAACAATGCTTAATCAGCATGCTCATCTTTAACACATAACACATCGTTCAGACCAGCAGATTCAAAGACTTGTCAAGGAGCTCAATTACAATCACAAATCACTAAACATATAAAAAAATTACCACACTGTCTATGATCACACTTCCAAAAAATTGAATCAGGAATGCTGGTGTTTTTGTTTAATGTTTTTTGGATGTTGTACCAGAGATGTTGTCAGTGATATTAGGATTCAAAATCTTCAAAGGCATTGATAAAGTCATCCCAGCAGACCCCTTCATTTGAAAACTGAAATACAAGCCAGAGCACTCAGGTGGCCACTACAATGTGATAGTGCATTTAAAACCAAGAACAAGAAGCACTTCTTTACTCAGAGAGTTGTGGGAGTCTGGAACAAGCTGCCCAGCCATGGGTCCTGGTGTCTTTCAAGCCATGCCTGGCTGAGAACCTTGGATCATGTCCTAGCTCTCAGATGAGCCTGTACGATGAGCCCATGTGGATGAGCTACATGAAGCGTAGTTCAGGACCCTATGCAGACGGTATAATCCGGAAGTAAGTGGAGAAGGACAACAGGGAAAACAGGGTGAGGTTCAGGACGGGAGGACAGACAGGGGGGCGTGACGACGGTGATCTGGTGCTCGGGGGGCGTGGCGTAGGCAAACGAGTCCAAACAGTCCAAGAGGGAAATCCGGGGCACAATCCAAGGTCCAGGAGCCGGGAGATCCATCCAAGACGGACAAGGTTAAAATCAGGAATGGGATCTAGAACAGGAACAGGGAACCAGGAAGATAAAAACAGGATAAGGCGGCCAGGTGCTCCGAGCCCCGGACCCAAATGGTTAGGACGCCGTGATGGAGCTTATGCCATTGGGTCTCTGCTGGTAGGCAGGCTTCCTGGCATCCATCTTCCAATGCTGAATGAGGCATAGTGGGAGCGCCAGGCTTAATTAATAACAGGGGGCAGGTGCACGTAATAAACTAAAATACGAAAGGGTCAGAGCGTGCTTAAGAGGAGGGATGACGATTGTGAAAGAGCCTAGATGGCCAAGTAACCATTTGAAACTATATGTTCTTAGACAATCCAGTTTATCCAATTAAGGAAACTAGACATTAAAAATGAATTCAGCTGCCATTTGAAATGTGCTACCTCTAAGTTCTGTGTACTCATGACAGGCTACTTCATCTTCTTTCCAGGCAGAACACAAAGATATTTCTGTCTGTTGCAGATCAAAACTAATCGGGGGTACTGTAAGACGTAATCTGAAATTAATTTAGTGAATCAAAATATGTTCTTTAGTCTAAATAACACAAACCTTTGAACAGCAACCTTTGTACTTCATCATCAAAGAATGCCTTCAGTAGTGGACCTCAGTGCATTGTAATGCTCTGCATATGAAGTAGGCTTACAATGAAAAAAGTAAGTGAATTAGCCTTGGGATGAGTAATGTTGTATAATTAAGAACTGTACATAAAACAGCACAGTAAAATGAATTATGCAAACCAATAAAACTTAATATTGAAATAGAGGAAACCAATAAACAGAGCAAATTAAAGTTTCCTGGCTTTCTGGTTCTTTGAAAGATTCATACTATTGCCTCGCAGGTATTCTGATTTTCTGGCTTTTAATCCTCTGAGCTGTCACTTAAAATGAAAATTTGTTTAGCTGCCAGAAGAAATTTACTGCCGTTGATTGAAATTCTAAAAATGCTTATTTTTTTTCCCAGGACTGTTGGTGAAAACGGTAAAAAACAAAAACCCATTTCCAAACCTGAGTCTCAGTGGCCACCGGATTCCCAGGTGTCGTCTAAAGGCATCTTGTTTCTGCAGCAGTGCACAACACCCAGGGGTTGCAGAGGGTCGTCAGCAGAAATAAACTTTTAAATCGGTGCATAAGATCAAACATTATTTAAGACGCTCTGTGAGGTTCAAGAAGAGGAGAGTGCACAAACCTCAGGACAGGAAATGAGGTTTTCTTCTGTAGCCTTTGGTTTTCCGGGAATCCCTTTCTGAACTATACTTGTGAGCTCACTCTCCAGCAGGTGCTCAGTGGCCACGGGCAGTTTTGTGCAGAATTGTCAGGAACAGGCTGAGTTGGTCTGCGGTGGCAGAATGTTTCACATACTTTGCCTCATCTTTCCTTCACTGCAGCGTGCATTCTCACTACAGAGGTCAGTGCCCATCTTGAATGTCCGGACGGGCATTGCACCTTAGCCACCCATTTCCACGAAATGCCAATGGGTCTGTACCCATGAGCTGGAGATAAGGTACAGCTGGTGTCTTTCCATGCCAAATTCGCTCTGTGAACCTCATTGTTCGGTCACGACTGCTCAGGGTCAGCCATCTTTAAGACCGGTACTTGGTCCAACTACAGACGTGAGCCCTCTTGCTCTGAGCTGTATTTGAAGCAAACAATGGCATTCCCATCTTTAGGATCTTCCTAGTTTACTTACAGTATTGTAAACACCCTTATTAGAACATAAGTAAATGTAAATGCAAGTGCAGGCCATTTATCCTACTGTATAAGAGCTAGTCATTTGCCTACACACGACTAAGCTATTCCATTGTAGCATCAAGCATATAATTTGAAAAGACCTTAGTGTTTGTACCTGCACAGTATATGTAGGTAATCTCTTCCATACATTCATAATTCTCTATGCAGAATAACAGATTGCAGATGACAGGATCCCAGAAATACAACACAGGCATAGTTCCAAGGGAATTCATTAACATTTTGAACACTGACCATGAAAGTGAACAGGTTTCATCATGTAACCAGTACAGGCATCTATATAAATTATAGAACAAAGGTTTCTTATCTGCTGGTTTAAAGATGACATAAAAATGTAATTTTGAGTGTTTAGATCACAAAACATTTTAAGCCCTATTAAGGTAAAATGCATTCTTTTGTCTTCTTGCATTGCATTAACTTTTATTATCAGGTAACCTTTGCTGAGAGAGAAGCTACTGCCGACCTGATTAGTTTGTAATTCAAGTCAACGGTCCCGTAGTCTGTAAGTATTGTTCTGGACTATCACTGATTAAAACAAAATAACAAATCAAAGAAAACAACTCTGTCCACCTATTGTGTCCTCCATGAGCCCAAGATATAACTGTTGAGAACTGACCTTTCCTTCAAACAACATTTCCAATTCAAATGATTGTTGATGTGCTGTTCAAATTGTTTTGAACGTTTTAGCTCTACTTTAATTCAATAGATTTACAGTACTGACATGCTTGGAGATATACTTTGTTTTTCAGCCAAAACCAAAGCTCCGTGCATGTTCTGGAGACAACAGCAGCAAGTTTACAGATGCGCTTTCATTCTTTGATGCTTCTGTGTTTGATTGTTCTTCAATGTGCAGGTTTGTAATTTTGATTTAATTTTTATTCTACGTCCTGTTTTGTTCAAAGTGCTTTGAGATGATTGTATTTAAAAGCCTTTTATAGTCTAGAGAGTATTTTTATTGCTGTTGTTTAGCTGTCTGAATAAGTGCTACTGTGCTGCTTAAGAGATTAATTGCTAATTATAATATTTTAATTGAAGGCATTTTAACCATGTTGTTTTCCAGTAAAAGCAAAGGTTTCCGGTTTGGAAATATATTGGGAATACAGAAAAGTACTAGAAAAGGCAAATACTTTTTTTGAGTATGGTCTGTGACATGATTACTTGTTTAATAGTAAGCAGAGCAAATATCTAATTTTCCACGCAGAAGTAGCAAGAATCAATAAAACACAAATACTGTAGCAAAAAACATCTTCACAAAAGCTCAAAGCTGTCTGCCTGTTTTCGGCAGTAATGATGCCTTCATCACTTGAATAACTTTTTGTGTGTAAAGAGTTTAGAGTCCATTTTCATTCTCCTTGTCTCTTTAATTTTACCTTGGAAAATAAAATCCCCAAAATTGGCCCACTGGTATAAATCAAAGACCTGTGAAACAAAGGGCCGTATGCTGAACATTACCAACTGACAAAGTCCAGTTACGGGACCAGTTTTATATCTGTAGAAATGCTCTTTCCTCTGAGCTCCATTGGTCTTCATGGCATTTGAGCAGGGGCATTAATTTTTACGCTTTATGTTTTTCACACGCTCAGTCGTGTCTTCGTTTGTGATTTATTAATGAGATTGTGCCTTTTGTTTATGCCACATTGGTTTTATTACAGACCTTGTCTCCGGGAATCATCTCAAAGTGCTTCAAGCATTTGCTGTGATGGACAATGAAAGGATTCGCAACTGTATCTTTCAAGATGTAATACTTTTCTCTATTAAAAATGACATTTTATTTGGCACGGTGGAACGGCGATTAGTACTGAGGCCTCGGTGTTGGGGTCTGGGTTTGATTTGGGGTGTGCCTTCTGTGTGGAGTATGCATGTTCTTCCTGTTCTCATATGGGTTTCTCTGGGTTCTAACCACTTTAAAAATACAGGGTCGCAGGGGAGCTGGAGCCTATCCCAGCAAGCAACAGGTGCAAGGCAGGATACACCCTGGACAGGACGCCAATCCATCCCAGGACACACAACCAGACACAGACACTCATACTAGTGACAATCTTCTTAGAAGTCAATTAATCTACCAGTATGACATACAAACGCCTTGCAGATAACACCCCAGGAATTGATCCCTGGGCCCCAGGCTACAATGCTAACCACTGCGCCATGGTTACCATCGTGTACCATGCATACTTCCTCTTATCACAAGCCACGCGTTTGCTGTGACAATATTATACATATCTGCAAGGAGAAATTGTTGAACATGGTCATTTTCACAGGAGTTTACGTTTCAAGGCGTCGCCAATGTTAATAGGTGTTTCTTCTTAAAGCGGTGAGGCTGTCAGTCTGAGAAATGACACAGCTCTTGTAAGAAGGGGCCCGACTTGACTGTCGAAATCCATTTACACCAAGTGATGGATCATAAGATAAACAGAACAAAGAAAATCAATAAAAACAACTTTGAAACAAAGAGATTTGTGTAGCTTTATGACCTACAACACATTTCATAGGGTGGAATTTAGTTTATATAAAAAATAATAAATGTGGCTTTATCCTTTCTAGAAACAATCTGTTCAGTTCTGTTGAAACGTCTGTATCAGTGATGGTTTTCTTGGTACTTAAGTCCATTTCAACGGGCTATATTTCTACCGCTGGATTGGATTGTGGCTAGCTGTTGCACTGTGGGGATATCACTGAAATTGAATGGACCACGGAGAAACAGGAAAGATGTGATATGGAGTGATAAAGTAAGCAGAAGGCTGTGGTTGATGACACCATCCAGAAAATGATAACAATATAGAGCAAAAAAATGAAGATAAAAAGGTTATAATAGGATCTGAAAGAGGTCTTCAACCTGGCATGTTAGATTTTAACACTTCTCTGACTTCCTGTGTGCTTATCTACTGTGATCAAAGTTGTGAGTGAGTAACACTATATGCTAATGCATCATACTGGCTGTAAGTCATGATGCTAAAGAGCTTTATTCTCTTTCTCTCAGGAACTCCCCGTGCTGGAGTTCTGCTTATGTATCATGATATTGTCCTACCATAATCCTCAGTGAGGGCTATATCTTGTCATCTGTTATGAAAACTACTTACAGTCATTTCACTTGACATGCATTAGATCCAGTCACTCACAGCCCTCTGATTGAGACATACTGCACTTTTCATTTATCCCTTGACTCATTCCAGGCCTCTCTTTTTTCCCACGAGTACTTTGTTTTTGACTTGCATGGAAGGCATCTGTCCATGTTAACTGATCGACAGCGTCTCAGAAATATTTGGTTGTCCTTTAGACAAACACGCCCTCCCGGTGAGGAAAAGATTAAGCCCTCGGTTACACTTCACCTGCTGATCACTCATTGTCTAATCTCCCTCCTGCTATCTTGCAAGTAACTGGAAAGATGAATCCTGCTCACCTTTGCTCGTTCTCTGAGGAAAATACAAACAGCTCTTACTGGAAGAATTATGCTTGTAACGGAAGTGTTCTTTCCGGACCCTATGCGGACGACACAATCCAGGAAAAAGTGAGGAAGCTCTGGGGAAAAAGTAATGCAGGAGACGGAATGAGGACAAGGGGGCGTGTCCATGGTGCGCAGTGGTACTGGGGAGGTGTGGCCCGAGGCAAACAATCCAAAAGTAATCCAGACGGGGAATCCAAAAAACAGGCAAAGTTTAAAGCCAGGCGGTCCATCAGGAACAGACGGGTTAAAACCAGGAACCGGGTCGGAAACCGGCGGGGGGAACAGGAATAGGAACAGGAACAGAGACTTAAAAACATGACGGAGCCAGACACATCAGGACCCGGGCTCGCATGATATGGGAATGAGATGCAGAGCCCGGAACTGACTGAGTGTCTGGCTTTTAAGAGGGACGGGAAGGAAGCTGGAACAAGGGGCAGGTGCACAGAATTAGGTCCGAACTGAAAAGAGCTGGAACGTCCTTAAGGAGGAGGGACTGCAATCGTGACAATGCTTCTTAGGCCACAGGTATTGTGATATTCCTTCTAATATGAAAATATATTTATTACTCTCTCATGACGTCTGGTAATGATTAGGAATGTATTGATATTCAGGATTTCTATGGTGCAGTATTCATTTGTAAGAAAAAAACACCCTTTGGACTTCTGCTTCCCTGAAGCCATGTTTCCTGATCCTGAAGTTCTCGACAAAGTCAACCCAGAGGACCATGCAGGAGTATAAGCAAAACAAGAATCTGAACACGCAAGCTGAAATTAAAACGGTGTGCTCATAGGATTGAACCTTCAGTGTGCTTCATTACAAATAAGATTGTGAATGTCTGTGACAAGCTACTAAGTCATAGTGTTTACAACGATTCCCTGGAAACTTTCAGGAAAGAGTGGGATGATGTCCTTGGTATGATAACGTATCTGACAGCCAGATTCTACAAGCAAACCGAAGCTCACTGCTGCCTCCTCTGGTTCGACACTTTTCATATGTTCCTGGGCTATTGTGTTCTGTTGTAATCACTTGCTATCCATAAGACTACAGCAACTCAGAGCTTTTTAAAAATAATATAAGCATACTAATAAGAACTTTCTGGAGGTACCCCAGAGCTTTCAACATGAAGCAATAGTCACATCAAGCTGAAGAGGAGGAGGTTACCTGGGGGGGGGGTCTACTGGCAAAAGACTCTGAACCTTACAGTGTATATTTGAATCAACCACTATGCTTTAACACGGCCATGGTCGTGCAATAACTCTTGATTTAAACTGCCCTCTTGTGAGCAGCTGATCAACATCACTGCTCCAGTTGTGCTGGGAGGACAAACTGGTTTTCGTCCTAAGTGAGCACGTGCTTACGTAATTGAGGCAATAATTCACTAATTCAGATCAATATGCTCATTCTTCCCAGGAATTAAGGTGCTAATGATTGACAGAGACTAATAAAATCTCATGGAATGCAGTGCAGCATCATTGAGGTGGGTCTGAAAGCTGTTTATTAACAGAGCAACAGCCCTATTTATAATGCCATTATAAATATTATTTATTTATTATTTATTTAGCTGAGAACTGCACGGGGGACGGGACTTCGGGACTGTATATAGTGGGGCAGAGGCTGGGAGATTAATCCCTGTGTGTGTTAGTGTAGGTGCAGCGCTGTAACCCAAGTCTCTGTGTGTGTACCTTTCCCTGATTCGAGTTAATAAATCTGTTGTTCAACCTCATTCCCTGAGTCTCATGCCTGCTCCATTCCGTACCGAAACTCGCGTTCATTACAATATACTGTGTATCTGACCTAAGACTGCCTTAGAGAAAATGTATCTTAAATGAGAGATAGAGCATATGGAGTATTTGCTCAGTTTGATAGTACATATGAGTTGTGTTCATAAGTGTTTTAACCAGACTATGAATTAAAAGCTCAAGAACAGATATCATTTTTTGTCATAAGAAAGAACTTATAAATGATAACCTGAGTAATTATTTTCTTTCTAATTTCATTTCAGGATATTGATTGAAACCAATCCAAGTGTTTCCAAACAACCCTCTCTGATTGTTTTGAAAATGGAATGTGCTAAAACTTGAGCAGCCTTTTTAGCATTTGCATATAAAAGCACTAAACCCCAGGGAAGTTTGTGGTTATATGCTCCAAAACATATCTGTTTTTCTGTTGGGAGGAGTTAATACAACCCTTACTGTTCACATCAAAAGTGACTTGAATTCACATGTGTCTTAAAACAAATCTGGAGATATTAAGTCAATTAATTTTAAAATGATCAATTTGACATTAAAGCTAAATGGTTTTTATAACCTATTTTAACCAAACAGCACTTTCTTAATAGAATTCAAAGGAACAAGTAAAGGTTTATTTCATGCTGAAAAGAGAAGAAATCTCTTTCACCAGAAGAATAAATCTTTCACCAACTTCCACCCGTCCCTCAAATATACAGTTAACATATCTTCCACTACTCTTCCATTTCTAGACATCAACTTTTCCATCAACTACCCCCGACTCTGCACTTCAGTCTAGCACAAACCCACGGATTCACACAGCTATCTCCTGTATAGCTCATTTCACCCCAAACACTAAAAACTCTCTCCTTTTTTCACAGTTTTCCAGAAACAAGCCCTCAAAATGTACTCCTTTTCCATCAACAGAGGATACCCCAGCAGTGTTATTGACAGGGGCCTTGTCTGGGCCAAAAACACCCCTCGGACCATCAACTTGAGCAGGAGCTCCTGCCATAACAATTTCATTCCTTTGGTGCTTCCCTACCACCCCAACACACTTCCTATCCCCAGGACTATTCACGACAACTTTCCATCCTACAGGATGATCCCTCCATTGGGGCCCTCTTTTCTGACCACCCCATCATCTCATATCGCCAACCACTTAATCTGCGTAACCTTCTTGTTCACAGCTCCCTTGACCGCCCTCAGCAACCATCCACACCAGGCACTTTCCCTTGCAACAGAGCTCGCTGTATCACCTGCAAGTACACATCTAACACCACACTCATCCAAGGCCCCTCAGGACAACTCCGGATCACCCAGATGGAGTCTTGTACCTCAGGCAACCTTATTTACTGTATCTCTTGCAGTAAATGCCCAGCCATCTACATTGGAGAAACAGGAAGGAGACTCGGAGACCACTTCAGAGAACATGTTAGGGCTGTGAAGATTAAAGATCTCTCCAAGCCCATTGTCTCTCATTTCAGCTCTGACGGCCATGATCACACTAATCTCTCCGTCTGTGTTCTCAAAGCTGTTTTTCCTAACTCCCACATCAGAAAGACTACAGAAACTAAAATGATCCTGCAGCTAGGATCACACCTTTCCCCATCTCTCAACGACAGACTCATTTTCTTCTAAATTCTCTCAATTCATTGTAGGTTTCATTTCACACCTCTCTACACCTATCCTGACTTCACACTTCCTAATTGGCCTCTTTCTGTCCCCTGCTCCCACCTCTCGCTCCTCCTCTCTCCCAGCTTTTGTTCTCCTATGCTGCAGTACATTACCTTTGCTGTCTGCCCTGTCTCTCTCACACCTGAAGAAGGCTCCACAGCCGAAACGTGTTTTCTTTCTTCTCTTTTCAGGATGGAATAAACCTATTACTTGTTCCCTTAAACCTTTACTTGTTCCTTTGCAGCCTACGCATGATGATGCAGCTCCCTACTTGAATTTTTTTATAAGATGTTACTATCTTCTTTATTATGCTTTTCAGATGAGTTTCTAAGACAATAACAGGATCTTTGCATCTTTGTAAAGCTGTATCACAGCTTTCAAATATATCCTCAATAAAGCCTCCACAGCATTTTCAAGGCAGTAAAAACAACATATATTGTAAAACACTGACATCTAGTGTACAAAGTGGAAATGGTTTGAATAATTTTATATCTTTAATTATAATAATAATTTCTTACAGTTATATAGCTCTTTTCTGGACACCCCACTCAAAGCACTTACAGGTATGGGAACTCCCCTCCACCACCAATGTGCAGCATCCACCTGGATGATGCAACGGCAGCCATAGTGCGCCAGAACACTCACCACACAGTGGGGAGGAGAACAGAGTGATGAAGCCAATTCATAGATGGGGTTATTAGGATGCCAAGATTGGTAAGGGCCAATGGGAAATTTGGCCAGGATGCTGGGGTTACACCCCAACTCTTTTCAAGAAACACCCTGGGTGATTAAAAATTAAAAATCTCTGTGAATTTTTAATGACCACAGAGAGTCAGGACCTCATATTTATGTCTCATCTGAGGGACAGCACTTTCTTACAGTATAGTGTCCCTGTTACTATAATGGGGCATTAGGATCCACACAGACCACAGGGTGAGCATCCCCTGCTGGCCCCATTAACACCTCTTCCAGCAGGAGCCTTAGCTTTCCCAGGAGATCTCCCATCCAGGTACTGGCCAGGCTCACACCTGCTGAGCTTCAGTGGGCTGCCAGCTGTGAGTTGCAGGGTGATATGGCTACTGCCTTACATAAACGTCCAATTGTTCAGCAAAAAAATATCAAACACCAAACGAAAGAAAAAAATACATCTTGCCGGTGTTTAACCAAGTCATTCTTCTCTCCATGGAATATTATTTAAAAGGCTGGGATGGAGTAATATTGGGTCTGAACAGATTATATATTTGTTTTTTGATTTGGAAAACTATTATTGCTATTATTTTAGCATTTTATAAAATATTTATCTTGCAGTTTTAGCAACAAATGTGGCACAAAACACTACCCACTACGAAAAGCCCTGCAAAAGAAGTGGAACAACAAAATTAAAGTATTCTAATGTAATCAAACAAATCAAGGACTTATCCAAAAATAAAACATACCTGTATATTGTATTGCACTTATCATTCATATTACTTCTATACATATCATTATCACAAATCCAAATAGTCTGACCGTAAATTATTTTTTTCTCTGCTGTTGGAATACTTTTGGAGGGCACAGTATCAGTACGAAGCACAAAAGATATATCAGTACAGATTGCCGTAATGCAGAAAAACCTGATCATCCACGTCAGAAGGTGGAGTGTGTCAGAGTCTCCACACAACCACTCGCCGCCACACTCCAGCGCGCTCTGCTCACCACATCCACCTCTTATCCAGCCACTTTCCCCCTCTTCTCTCTACTGACGCCTTTCTTCCACGCCTCTCCAGGCTCACTATCGAGTTCTGCTCGCCTCAGCCACACCTTTCTCGCCTTTCAATAACCTTCTGGTTGTTGGATATTACTCCTTGGATTTCTGATCTTGGCCCTCCTACTGACCACTGACCTGCCTAACGACTTGGACTTCGGTTACGGGACTCTCTCTCTCTCTCTCGACCCTTACACCCACCCCACACTGGCTCCTAACTTTCCACCTACTGGTCCCGGACAGTGGGATTTTGCATGACTAAATCGGTGCAGTTTTTAGAGCCCTCTATCAATGTTAGAGGTTACTGGAAGGCAGCCAGCTTGAATCTGGCCTCTGGAAGCAAATTGCTGCCAAAGATAAAATAAACTGTTTTTCCCTCAATGATTGTGACTTACTCATATGCAAAATATCTAGTATCACGTTATGACTTCAAAGGGATTCTGTGATAATTCTTTATCACCTAACTAGATGTTAGATGTAGTTCCATCATAAAAATAAAACCGCAATCTTTCTATGGAAATAAACCCAGTTTACCTCCCTGCTCTGCTCTGAGATATTATTTCAAAAGGAAGCAAAAATAGTCCTGGTTTTATACTTCTAAATGAGTTAGAGGTCTATGTCTATACAGCTACACAGATTTCTTAAAAGCCAATTTTGTACTTGCTGAAAAGACATACAATGGGAAGAGTAAGCACTGAAAACAATATCTGGGTCCATCCACTCTCTCCTGTGCTTAACAACCTGCAATCATCGCTAATTATGGTATTTTATTATAAGTACTTTAGGCCACAGTTACTCTTCATCTCTTTTCAATCTCTGTAAGGAGGCCCCTTTGCTTCAACATCCCCTCTCTAGTCATCCAGAGTTCTGCTGCCTGCCTTGTGATCTCTCTGCTTCTACTTTGGACTTTCCAGTTGCTCCCTGCTGCTGCAGGCATGTTCAAATGAGCACGTATCACTCTTTCCCCACCCTTCTCCACTCGCTTATCTCTTTTAATACACTGTCTTCTCCTGCCTGCTCATACCCTATTTATCTGTACATCACTTTGCATAACCATTATCTACGAAATTGGGATACTTCTTGGAGCAAGCTCTGATGAACTCCTGTAAGCTGTCTTGAATAATATTGTGTGCAGATTACATTTTTAAAAATTAGATACCTAGTAATACTTATTTGATAGACGTATCCCGAAAGTATGTGGTAATGTTTAAAGCAGTTATTGTCTGATAATCATTATATAATTATGTGATCAATGCAGTGTTATGGTAGCAATGCACTTCCATAGTCTTCAGGCTTTGTAAAGGCAAAAGTCAGGCTTTTCTATGACCTCCATAAAACCTCATAAAATTATCACTGAACAGCACTCAGTGGCTGAAAGTCTCAAGTCTAAACCTGCTGTGCACATTCAGGAAGTCATTTCTTAGCTTAGTAGTTTATAAGAGCTTTGTCTGCATAATTATTTTAAATTAGTATTTAATTGGTGCACATTAAGGAACACTAAATCACATTATAAATATCTCTATTGCAGTTACAGTTAAGAGTCAGTCAGTTGCTTTTACTTTTGTTTCCTAATTATTTCCTAATTCCTAATAAAGTCTTCTTTGAAAAAGCACAATATAGGAATATAAAGCTATAGAAAGTTTGCTGGGGGCTCAAACAATATTTGTTGGCTGAAACTTAAAGAGTCCATTTTCAATGACAGAACCTAGCTGATTTACATACTGTAGAACTGGGAAAGAATATTACAGTAAAAACTTCCTTCTCTACTGATTGCATCATGCTAAATGATTTTGAAATGTATCACTATATACAGTATTTACCAAGTGCTAGGTTTTAGGTGATACACTGAATTACTGTTTTGGAGAGCCTGGACTGAAGAAGAAAACGTGTTAAATTAACATTTGAAATCAAATGCATACACATGCTCAAAGATGAAGGCTACCTGACAACAAGATTAATTTACTCCAACGCTTTTGGGAATATAATTTGATGGCAGCATTCCATTCTGAAACAGTTGTGCCAGTGCCAAGATGACTACCTTACCTTCTTTCTTGAAAAGCTTTCAGTCTTCTGCTTGAGAACCTTAAAAGTAGGAAAAGTTAAAGGAAAACCCAGTACACTTCAAAGATTTCAAGCTGGCACTGTTTGTTGACATGCGGAGATCAGCCAAAAGGGTCACTGTGACTTCAGTGTAAGACATCTGAATATCACTGTGGGAAAAAAGTGACTAGTGAGGACTTGAGGAATGTGCTCACCTTCATGTTAAAAGCTGTAACAGAGAGGTCAATTTCCCTTCTCAAACTTCGAATGGCTTCTGTTTGAAGAGCTAATTTGCCAGATAAACTCAGCAAGCCAGTGTTTAAAAAATAACTCCCAATTTATTATCCCTTTCTTAGCAGCTTAGAAAAATCCACACAACCTTGTGTGATACTTGAATTTGTAATAATTAATTTGTAATAAATACATATTAAATAAGCATATTATCAGAAATATATATAAAATTGAGGTGAAAAGTACTTCAAATATTTTAAAGATGAATTTGGACTTGTTGTAGAGGTTTTTCAAAAATATCTTTAGTTTTGTGTTTATTTTGGTTTATATTAAAATTTTCAAAAGTTCTTAAATAAAATACATAAAATATTTGTAGAAGAACACCCTTTTGAATTTTTAAACAGATCTGCATCCTTTCAATGGCGACTTCAGATCTGCATCTGGGTTAAGGGTATATTTTTTTCAAAAGTATTTTTACTGAAAAGAATATTTTGTAATTCAGAAAAGCTGGAATAGGTTTAACTGTTTTATTTGAAGACCTTGAAAACAACTCAGCTGAAAAAGGCTTTTGTGAGAAGGTCCTGTTTTTAGGTCATCAATGTGATTCATTAACCACTATAAACACAGTTAATGACCTAACAGAACACAACAGCTCTTCCCATCCAGTTCAGACACCTGTGTGCATTGATGTGATATAATTTGCTTCATATTGGTCTTTTCTATCTCAGAGACAATGCGCTTTTTCAGTGAAGGTGTAATGGAAAGTTACTGAGAAAAGTGTTTTATCCTAAAAATGTTGTTTACGGACAGAGCTGTGCTGCAGAAGCAGCTGGATACTGGACAACTCGTCAAGGGCACGGGATGTTTTAATCATGTTTATCTCTGCTGCTTGAAAAAGGGAGCATGAGAAACCATTTGAATAACTGCTCTTCTTTGCTTAAAGCAGAAACCTAGAAGGAATGGAAAATCACTGCTTCACCTGTCCTTGAAGTGTTGCATCAGCTTAAAAAAGATCTAAAACAAGGGGCTCTCCTTGCTTGCTTTTGAATCAGCCTTTACTTCTCTGCACAGACAGTGATCACTTTTTCCCATATTGCAATATGAATAAAAACCTTACTGAGTGAATGAGAACACCTCTCCTGGCTCTTCTTTGATAAAATTCCACGACAAAGGCAAAGGTCTTATTTATATTTAGCTATCTATTTTATCATACGAACAACTCACTGCATCACACATTAATTAGGCAGAACTTTTATAAATAATCCCACATCTTTTATGAGTATTGAGCTGCACTGGGCTTCCTGGCTATTTCCATGTGTCATTCTAACTTATCAGTTTACTCCATGCTGGAAAAAGAAGAAAGAAAACACAACTTCTGACACCCAAAGAAGGCTCCACAGCCCAAACGTTGTGTTTTCTTTCTTCTCTTTTCAGCATGGAGTAAACCTATTACTTGTTCCTTTGCAGCCTACACATGCTGACGCAGCTACCCAGCTGAACTCTTTAAACTTATCTGTTGAAAAGAAATTTGAACTTCAGGCCTTAATGTTATGAAGTAATTGGACAGCATAGGTCAGAGGGTACAAATCTGAGGGTACAGTGCTTTATAAATGGGGTTCCCGAACATGACGCCCTTAGCAAAACTCAGAAAGTCACTTTTGCAATTGAGCTCCATTTTTGTGAGGTGGAAGAGTGCTTCTGTTTTCGCTCCATATGATGTTTAAATGACTTCACTTAATTCCAAATGTTCAGTGTATACGTGGTCACACTGAAATTATTCCAGATCTTTCGAAACACATAAAACCTTCTTGACCCTGTATATAGCTTAATATAGCCACAAAATAGTAAAAGCACAAATAACAAAAGGAAATTACATTTAAAAGTTAAATGCAATATTATCTGTGGAGTGGCTGTCACACAGAAGTAGAATTCTTCCATGTCTCATTAAAAAGAACAATGGAAAACATATCAATACCAATAATCTAATTATGCATATTGTCTCCTATTCACTTTTTTGTCTCTCAATCATCAACCCTGCTTGAGTACACATTCTGATGTTTCTAAGCATGCTTTTACAACAATAGTAAAAAAGGTGTATCCTAAAGCAATTAAAAGTGCTTCCTGTTAATTAATAATAAATCCTCCTTCTGGTGTCTTGAGGCTGATCCAAAAGGACAGAGTTTTGTTCCAGAGCACCATTTTCGTTCACAGAGTACAGTGCACCTGGAACAGAGAAGACGGACAATGGGTACGTCGTAGTTTCAATTTTACTAAATGTTAGTTCTTTTCCCGAGACTGTGCGCATATTTTGTCTTATTTGTTTTGAGCGTGTGTAATAGATTCGGACCAGGAATAGTTTTATAGTGTTATACCACAGTGTAGATTTTTTTACTACAAAGTGCGTTCTTTTCATCTTGTATTTTGCGCTGTTTTTTTAATGTAAATATTTCGAGGAACAATCTTAAGTGGTGCGTTCTTTTAATGGTAAATTACTTGTCAAATGTAGTTTACGCTGGCGTTCGTTGAAAACAATCCCAAAGCCATATTTGTAGTTCACGTAGTTTAGTCTGATTATAACTTTTTTCTCTTCTTCAATGAATATGCATTTGTATCTTTTTCATGACTGTATGTCAATTTGTTTTTAAAGATTTGAAATCATTGACTTCACTTGACAATTCTGATGGTCAAGGCAAAGACAACCTTGGATTTGATCTAAATGTAAGTTACAACGAATGGATTTGTTTGGATTCATTTTGCACTTTGCAAAAATTACTGGAAACATTTTTTTTATTTCAGGAAGAAGGTCAGTCTTGTAGGGTTAAGACGTACCCTACCCAGACCTCCACATCGTTCTCAAGGTACTACAGCACAGTACAGAGTTTCTTTTTTTAAAACCTGTTAACAATGCTGTGGCAGATTAACCCAATACTCTGAACAGGTGAATGTGTATCTAAAGTTCATTCGTTTACGATACCTGAATATAACATTATGGATAATTCTGATATGCTGCTATAAACAAATTAAGCTAATAAGAGTTTCAAGTTGCTTCACCGTCTAGTACATATACTGTACTGCCTTTTCTTTAGACAAAAAAAATGAAACTTTTTTTTTTCACTTAAAGCTGGCATCATCGTAAATTTCTGATAGCTTAGCAAGGGGCTATCCTTCATCTGGTGCATTGTTGAATTTGTTCATCTATAGTTATGCAACACAAAATCTGTTTTTGACTTTTAACATTTCTTGTAGTGGAAACGACACCGACCACGCTGTGACTGAACTGCAGGTAAACTGAAAGTAAAAACGCTGGCACCAATTCACTCCTAGCATTTGCTAGAATTATTGTAAAAGTGTTTAATTCCCTCTACAGGGAGAAGGTCAGACTAATGGGATTAATAACGACCCTCATGACAGCTCTACTGCACATCGGTATTGGAGGTAAATACTTGTTCTCCGCACGTCTGTGTTTTTTTCGCTGTCCCATTCTGACATTAAGAGAAAACCTCTGAGATTGTATCTTTCCCTGTCCCTTTCTCGTGTTGGAAGCCTGAGTTGCTGTTTCTCTTTGAACGTGCGCAGTAAATGGGCGGACTATCATGTTTTCCGAGATACCGCTGTAGCAGAAAACAAAAATATCGTCGGAGTTAAGGAAGATGCGAGATACCGAAATTTGGTGCAGTCCGCTCCCTGCAAAACCCAGCGCTGAGCAATCATGAATAACCTGCTCTGTGTAGGTGTGTGCTATGGACACATTTAGGTTATATTGGAAACTGCAAACTGTATGAAAACGTTTTGTCAATTTGTATCTGCAACGAGGGCTGAATCATTGTTTCATCTGTTTATAGCAGTCCACACACAGACACAAACACGCAGGCAAGGGCCAATTAACATACCAGCATTTCTCTGGATTGTGGGAGGAAAGCAGAGTACACAGAGCAAACCCACACAATCACAGGGAGAACATACAGAAACGACACGGACAACACCCAGTACCTGGCCAGAGTCCCAGGACTGCAAGGCAGCAATGCTAAGTACTGCACCACTGTGCTGCCCAGGTTATTTTTTCAGAAACTTGATTTAATTCCACTGAATTCAAATGTTTACAGAGATATGCAATTTTTTTTCATGCAAGGGCTGCAATATTTTAATATGAAGATGCTTTCTTTTTTTTTTTTTAGTAAGATTTCCCAGCCATTTTCCAAAGCTAAGCGGTACTGTAAATCTCGTGGTCGACTGATAAAGAACATCATTCTGGCAGTGCTCGCTGCAGGTAATGACAATAGTCTGTCACTGTAACTTGTTTTGATGTTTTGTTCCGAGTCTCGGTTGTTAAAATCCCCTCTGCCCAGCTCATACTAACTTGGATGTACAGTACATGCTAGTTTAGAAAGCAAATGTATGCTCTGTATTTACTGGACTTGCAGTCCAACACTAAGTCTAGTGCTGGAACACCTAATATAGGAAACAAACATTTGTGCTCCATCCAGTTTCCTTTTTAACAGCTCTGTGGTTCCAATAGCTGAAAGCCCTGTAAAAGTTGCACAGTTTAACCCAAGAATAATCAGTCACTTAAAAGGAAATGTACGTTAAGATACATCTAAAACAAGACTTATAACTAACAACAAGAAAATTAGTAGACTCAAAGCAAGGTATCATTTGAGCCATCGGTCACTACACACAGAACACTCCAGTTTCTGAGGCAGCATGTCCTGTTGTACAGGGGTGTTGTTTGAGTTGTTGACCAGACTGAAGTAGAAAAACACTTATATATATTATTGATGGAAAATATATATATAATTTATCTGTATTCAACACTACAGTGTTGGTTCAGGTGCATTGTGTAATATGTCGGCTGTTTTAACATATCTTAAGCAGCTCCAACAATTACAGCTACACATCAAAGGACAAGACTTGGGACAGGACTTAGCAGGTCAACTCATGTTACATATCAAAGGACAGCTACACATCAAAGGATAGGACTTGAGACAGGACCAACCGGTCAACTCATGCTACATATTAAAGGGCAAGACGAATACACATGAAGTGGTGAAACAAAACATCTTCCTGAGATCATACTGTGTATAAGAGCTGGGAAACCCTTGTGGTTTGTCTGTCCTGCAGGGCAGACCCAACGCACGTTGATGTCAGTATTAAGCTCAATAAAACAACTGAATCCACGAAAGACTGTGTCCTGCTCCTTGGATGAACAATTTCCCACAACACAGACAATATCTGGTGACTGTGCACTCTTGCACACTGACCTTCTCTGCTTTTTGTTTTGTCAGGTTACTTGGCGTATTTCATTGCAGCCTGTGTGCTGAATTTTCATCGAGCTATAGCTCTTGTGGTTCTCACAGGCCTGGTTGTGTTCTTCAGTCTCTATGACCTAGTGAAGAAGAAGTGGGGGAAACAAATATGCAAGTGCTTTAAGCCTGTTGGGCAGTGTTTCAGGAACAACCTGAGGTGGATGAGATGGTGAGCTGAACACTTGTGCTCGTCTGTTCATTACCGGCTTTGGGATCCATCTGTCTAATGTTCCCCATTACTTTTCAGAAGCCTTGAAGAAGTGCAAAGCCAAAGCAGAGATAACAGGGGATGGAAACAATGTTGTCATCGCAACAAGTCTGATTCATTTCAAATTGCAGACTCTTGCAAATTCTGGTGCCGCACAAACATGATAATGCATGTTTTTAATGTTGTCGGAATTCCGAGTTAGTTCAGCCTCATGTACTTCTATTCTGAGTCTGGGATGCAGTGCAATGATGCGTTTTGGATTAATCGTCTGTGCATGGGTATGCCAACTATTTGGGTAAAAAACTTGTTGATCGCCTGATTCACCTTAGTCAGCTTCTTTTCTGCAGGGCAGTGTGCTCAGTGAGGAATGTATAAACTCAAAGTATCAACAAGAACACCTTTTTTCGATTCCAAAAACCAGGAGCCTGATTTTTAAAGAGCATGTCAGAATACTGTAGTTCTGAGTTTATATACACAATTTCTCATGCTTGTACCATTGCCTACTGTATATCCCTATGAGTCTTTTACAGCTGCTTTGGGAGTGAGAACATGAGCACACAAAGAAAAGATGATTTGCTCGCAAAAAAAAACTACATCCAATAGTTAGTTGTCATCTTTGAATTTTACAGGGTATTCATAGTGATTGTTCTGGGTCTGCTGGTGGCCTGGCTTGTTGTGGACACATCAAAAAGACCAGAGCAGCTGATATCTTTTGCGGGAGTCTGCATGTTCATATTGCTGCTCTACATCTTCTCAAAACACCCCAAAAAAGTAAGTTTTATGTTGTTTTTTAGCTCTGGGTGAAATGGCTACTTCATGGGAAGTGACTTAGAGTAGCAGCCTACCAGAGTGAATTTCAGACCCACTGCTTTAGTTAAAGCTTGTACACTTTTCCAGGAACGTGAGGTCATAGTCCAAGAACTTTCCCATTGTAGGTCTGTGTAGTTTGTGATCTGTCAAACTTAACCCCGTGTTTAACCTTTGGATGTCTTGCAGTGTTTTTCCTTCTCTATCACACTTTGCTCTTAATATTTAATTGAAGCAGAACAGCTGATTTCTGATTACTGCAAACTGTATTCCAAACTGGGTTAATCAGATCTTGCGAAAGACCAGTTCATTTTACTTAAAGATTTTGACGTCTTTAAGTAATGTTTGCAAGCCTTCTAGGTACTGGCTTCCTTCTGAATATTACCCAGTCTTGTCCTTAGGGTCTTGTGTCTGTGTATCTTTCTCAGTCATAGCTTACAACAGTCTTGTTCGAAATAAATATCATCTGTAACCTGCAAGCTGGCTTTTGCATTAAGCTCACTATTCAACGTCTTCAAAAACATGGGGAAAGAAAGCGTACAAACAATCAGTGAAGCCTCAACAATTTCAGTCTTTATTTCTTCTCTTTCACTAAAAGATCCTCTGACAAGTGAAAGGTTTCTGTGCATTTCTTACCTGAGTACTTGTGCAGCAGTCTAAATCTGGAATATTACGAGTCTGTTGCAGATTTTCTCAGGACTCTCATGTTTTGGCTGTCCCACAGGTATCATGGCGAGCCCTTTTCTGGGGGCTAGGTATGGAATTTGCTCTTGGCCTCTTCATAATCAGGACCAATCCAGGATTTGTGGCCTTTGATTGGCTTGGAAAACAAGTACAGGTATACTACCCAGTTATGACCACATTGACACAAATACATAGCAAGCTAGGGGTCGTTGTTCATCATAATTTCTAATATTAGCAGCAAGTCCTAGCCAAATGAAGTCATACTGCAAGATGCTGTGTGCAGCACTGCACAGTAAATAAGACCTAATGTCTACCAATGCATGTCATAAAAGTGCAAGTGGTTTGATGTTCTTTTTTAGTGTTTTGCTTTGAAAACAACAAAGGAAGAAATACCATATTGTCAAACACGCTTTTTTCATTTCTTTTAGATATTCCTGAACTACACAACAGCTGGGTCAGGATTTGTTTTTGGAGATGCCCTAATAAACCAAGCCTTTGCGTTTCAGGTCAGTAGTTTGATTTTTTCAAATAACAAATTCCAAGGTATTGTACTACCCTGGAATACTCATAGTCACAAATCATGGCAGAGTTCATAAACCTGCTTATTGTAAGGAGCTCTTTTGAAAATAGCCCATTTAATAAGAGGTGGTTACAGATGTGTACCTTGACAAATCCCCTTCAATGTGAGGTTTCTGTCATGTTTTGTGTGAATTTCTTATTGTCTACCAGGCATTGCCTATAGTGGTTTTCTTCAGCTGTGTGATGTCTGTGCTGTACTACCTTGGATTGATGCAGTGGCTGATTGTGAAGGTAAAACATTGCTGTTGTTTGTCTGCTTCAGATCTGTATCACTATTTACAAGCAAATACTAAAGGCCTGGCTCTCCACTGATTACAGAAAAATATTTGAACTTGTTCACACAGATCGCATGGATAATGCAAAAAACAATGGGGACTTCAGCCACAGAGTCTCTTAGTGTTGCAGGAAACATATTTGTGGGACAGGTAAGGCTTTACATCACTGGAAATCCTCTAGTTGAATAGATGGGTACAATGCACATTCACAAACATGCAGGATAACAGATTGCATCAGTTCATTGCTTATGAAAAAATATACATTTGCATTTTCCAAAGCTATTAAACAATTTCATGTATAGTGATGTTGAAAACAGATCAGACAGTTGTGGTTTTTGTTTTCTGTCAGACTATAACCTGTCTACATATCAAGTCATATTTGTTTTAATAGTAGAGGCTCATTGAAGGTTTGATGTATGACAGATATCTGTCATACCCTTAGGTGCAATCTTCAACTGCAACGTATGAATGTTCTTGATCTTCCCTGTATTTAAACTCCACTAGAGGTTTACAGTTTAGGCAGGGAAAAATTAAAAAACAACAGCATTTGTTGTAGCCTTTCATTCCTCTCACTATATTTTGAACACTTAACAAAAAAGTATTTCAAAACATCATCCCTGGTGCTCACATTTTGCTCACATTTTATTTTCCCCTGCCTACACACGCAAAAAACAATGGGGTATAAAGGTTGCCAAAATCAACAGGAAGTAATCGTGTTAATTCTTGACTCCTTGCCTACATTAAGACCGAGGCGCCCCTCTTGATCCGGCCATACTTACCCGAAATGACCAAATCTGAGATCCATGCTGTGATGACTGGAGGTTTTGCTACCATTGCGGGCAGCGTACTGGGAGCCTACATCTCCTTTGGAGTGAGTGTCCTGACGGATATGTTGTCGTAGCCGAGCTAACGCACTATAAAGGCCAAATGTGACCGTCGTTTCTTCACCTCCTAGATTGACGCCTCTGCCCTGATTGCTGCGTCTGTGATGGCAGCACCGTGCGCCCTGGCTCTAGCCAAGCTGTCCTACCCAGAAACTGAGGCATCCAAGTTCAAGAGCGAGAAAGAAATCAAAATAGACGTTGGGTAAGGCTCTTCAGCTCCGGGAGGCCTCTGGCTTGACAGCGCAGCGCTATCGTTAAAAGAAAATGCTAGCCAGACCCAAATGGATCGTTGTTCGAATTCCCTGAAGTAGGCTACCAGCTTGGCATCACGCAGGCTGGGATCTCTTTCTGGAAGTCATCTCTGTCTGTGGGGTCGTTTTAGTAGCCGTTTTAATTTTTGACTTGCATCATTCATTAGTTTTGTTGTGCCCAGTCCACTGTGTTTTCTCATGTCTCAGGTTGCAGCAATTGTATAAACCCCCCGCTCTGCACACAGGGTGAATGAGTACAGTTTCGGCACCACTTGCTTTCAACACATCCCAAAGGCAAGACTGTCTTGTGCAGGAGGATCAGAGCTAATTGGAGGACAGGTTGCAAGAGTCGCTGTGTCGCGGAGAGCTGGGACAGCGCTGTCAGACTAATCCCACCCCACCTTAGAGAATCCCGGTCACAGTGAGCTAGTGACATGACCCTGGATCAGTCTTTGTTCTCCTGCCAGCCACTCGCAGTGACATTCAGGCACCGATCAGAACTTGAGCTCTCTGTGTTGATGCATATAGGCAGTCTGGACAACTTGCCAAGTTAGAAACAAAACAATTCTTTCGAAAATGTGGATCTGTTTATTCAATTTCAGAGATGAGAAGAACATTTTGGAGGCCGCCAGCAGTGGAGCTTCAGCCTCTGTTAGTCTCGTAGCCAATATTGCTGCCAACTTGATAGCTTTCCTGGCCCTGCTGGAGTTTATGAATGCAGCTCTGAGGTGGCTGGGAGGGATGGTCAATTACCCTAAACTCACCTTCCAGGTATATCTGAACTGGCGGCACATCGTCTGATAGCCTGAACGTTGCACACCATGTTCACAGGATCACAAATCCAGTATACAATTGCCGACTTAGCTATTGAGAGCTGCATCTGAAGTATTCATTTTGTGTGCTCTAAATAATGTTACCGTATTAATCTAACTGTTATTGTAACTTCATACTCAATTATAACCCTTATAGCTTTATTGAACCCGTATTCATCATAGCCAGTGACAGTTGACATGTTCCAGGTCAGTACTTAAATCTTTCACACTACATAGGTCTGCTAAGATGAAGTAACTATCCATAACTTTTTTTAAACCATTTATGTGTCTTCATGACCACTAGTTTTGAAAGCTTTATATCTGGCTGGTCAAATAAGAGATCTTCCAGACCTTTTCAAGTCTTTGGTAGAACCATCTCCTTTACAGTGTCATTTTTCTCTGTGACTAAGGATCTGCGCCTGTTGCTGGAAGGTTACCGGTTCGTATCCTGCGGCTGGCAGAGGAATCCTACTCCATTGGGCCCCTGAGCAAGGCCCTTAACCCCAACTGCTCCAAGGGAGCCATATAAATGGCTGACCCTGCGCTCTGACCCCCAGCTTCTCTCCCTGTCTGTGTGTCTCATGGAGAGCAAGCTGGGGTATGCGAAAAAAGAAAAATTGCTAATACAAGAAATTGTATATGGCCAATAAAGTGATCTTATCTTATCTTAACTCATCGTCATCTTGTTAAAACAATAGAGGGTGGCTGTGCCAAAGCTGGATCATAAAACCGATTGGAAGGTGTGGAGCTCTGGACAGAGCAGTTGTAAAGAGTGCGTCTTGAGTCAGAAATGTGTCTTTCTGCTCCACAGCTCATATGTTCATACATCTTCATGCCAGTGGCCTTCATGATGGGCATACCCTACGAGGACTCCTTCATAGCTGCGGAGCTCATTGGCACCAAGCTCTTCCTGAATGAGTTTGTGGCTTATGAGAAGCTGTCTGTCCTGAAGAAAAACAGGCTTAATGATCTTGACAAGTGTATCAATGGAGAGCTGCAGTGTATCTCAGTAAGAGTTGTGTTTAATTTACTAACTAATGTTGAAAACCTGTCATACAGCCTGTTAATCAAGGCATAAAAAGAAGCCCTGTGTGCATGCATGTATTTTAAATCCTGTAGAACATTAGGAGAAAACATAACTGATGAAATATTAATGGAGGATCAGGTCACAACTTTGTATATTACACATGACTTGGCTCTTTTGAGCATCTCATACTAAATATTTAAATACTGCATACTGATATTGCAGAGTTAAATTAAAATTTTAATATTGACCAGGAAAGGCAATATATGTCAGAAACTCTGGGAAGGACTAATCTGAATGTGCTTTCTCACAGGTCCGAGCAGAAACCATCTGTACTTATGCTCTCTGTGGGTTTGCTAACTTCAGCTCGCTTGGAATCATGATTGGAGGACTGTGTAGGTGAACAGGTTTTGAACAGAGGAATTTGTCATCCATGCCATCATCCCTGAAATGCTAAACAATTTGTGATTCAATTGCTTTGTTGCCTGCATCGTCTCATTTCCGTTCTTTGTACGCAATTGCCATTTGCTTCAGAATTAACAGAGGTGTCTTTTTCGAAAGCTTAATGATGCTTTTCTGCTTTTCTTGTCCCCTGCCTCCTCATGATGGAAGCTTCTATAAGCCCTACCAGAAAGAGTGACATCGCAGAAGGTGTTCTCAGAGCCCTGTTCACAGGAACCTGTGTGTCTCTGGTTAACGCTTGCATTGCAGGTAAGGCTGGGCATCCTGCGCCCGTGGGAATCCCAGAATTCCAGAGTGCAGTCTTGTTGTGTGTTAGAGAGGCAGAGGCAATGAAACACCTGTCCTTCAGGGACACACTGGTAAGCAGGTACTCAGAGGTCCTTCAAGTACATTCCCTCTGACAATGGACGTTATTCCAGTCATGCTCAGATAAAAGGTGAGCCCCTGGAAGATATTCTGGTTTAAGACTGGGAAGAAGAAGGCTCACGTGAGAAAGTGTGTATGAGTGAAAAGTGTGTTAAAGAGGAATTAAAGGATTGTCTGGAACCATCTGACTTTGCACCTTCTGCTGATGTAGGTGATGAATATAAATTCAATTGGAATGCCATTATAGGAACCAAAACATTTAACTGTATTTCTGTGGTCTTCCTGCGTAAAGGGTGAATAAAATTTGAGACCTAAGGACCTAGTGATAACTGAATATTGAGCATCTCCATGTCTTGTATTAAAACAGGTGCTACAGCTTTAGCTAAAGATTTTTTGATTTTTTTTTAAAATTTAATCATACAGTATGCCAGCCCTCGGGACAGACATTATATTCTTAAAGCTGAAAATAGATTACATTTTGTTTTAAACACCCCTCTGGCACGAACTAAAAACAGAACATTTCATGTAGGCAGAAAGGCCGCCTTGTGTCTGTATCAAGGATCCAACTAGGACATTTTGAAATTGCCACAATCTGTTTAACTTTGTTTTTTCAGTTGCATAATAACAGTTCTCTTCTCTTGCTTGCAGGGGTTTTGTTTGTTCCACCAAGTGACTGTATTCGTGTTTTTCAAAACTCCACCTTCAGCAGCACGACCCCAGACCTCGATTCCTGCTGTTTGGATCTTTTTCAAAGGTGAGATGGGGAATAACTTCCTTGTGTGTTGGGTGGCGTTTTACTGTTCAAGCACTTAATCCACTGAGGTAACAAGTTAAAAAGGGCAGCAAACCTTCTTGAAACAAGGAAATCATTGCTTTATTGTAACACTTTAAACTATTGGCCACAGGTTCCAGATGAATTCAAATTTAAATGCGCAGAACTAGCACCTGGCCATCTCTAGCTCTTCCTCTGTTCATGGAAGGCGTTTGGTAACACATGATGTACAGTAGGAGCTTTACATGAACAGTTCACGTTGAGGGAACACCATAATAGAATGTAGTTCAGGTGGGGAGCTGCGTCAACACGCGTAGGCTGCAAAGGAACAAGTAATGGGTTTATTCCAGGCTAAAAAGAGAAGAAAGAAAACACATTTCGGATGTGGAGCCTTCTTCTCACTTTCACTCTCACACCTGAAGAAACGTTGCATTTTCTTTCTTCTCTTTTCAGCTGGAATAAACCCATTACTTGATCCATAATAGAATGTAGCTGACTTCAGTTACATGCATGGTGAATGTAAGAAATCCTGGTTTATATCGTGTATAACTACTGTGGAATTACTGACACATTCTGAAGTGAAGCTGGAGTATCCAGCTGCTTTCACAGTCACCTGCTGTTTATACTGTACGTGGGTGTCTAAGCTCTGAAACCTATGTTCTATTGCAGCACCTCCTGGAACAACGGCACTGCAGGCTTTGACGAGGCGTGGAATGGAGTGCAGAATGCTGCTCAGTATTTACTCAATTGCTGTAACCTCTATAACAGCACTGCTTGTACTGCCCTGTAAATGTTTCCTCTGTCGCCTGCGTGTGACCCCCTGTGGTTACCATTTTACTCTCCCTTTAAGATGGTGAAACAAAACTGCCACCCTTCCGTGCTTTCATCCACCCCCCTCTCCATCTGCACAGTGTTGGAAAGACACTTTTCCATGTGGAACTCGCAGCAACCAGCAGGCTGCCCCAGAAGCACTGGGATCAAGGCAGGACTGAACACATTTGCCTGTCCATTTGGATCGATATAGAGATCCTGTTTTCCAATATACGTTGTTGTCAGAGTTTCCACACATCCACGCACTCGCCGCCACATTCCAAAGCACTCTTGTCACTCCAATTAATCTATTAACCAACCACCCTCCCCCTCTGTCCTGCTTAAACCTTTCCACCACACCTCTCGATGCTCACTATTGAGTTCTACTCACCCGAGCCACCCCTTTCACCGCCTGCTTGTCTTGCTACCTTTATTGGATAATGAATACGGCCTTCCTCTGACTACGGACCTGCCTCGTGAATCAGACTTGGAGATCTCTCCAGAATCCTGGTTAACGAATACTGCCTTCCTCTGACTACGGACCTGCCTCGCCAATCGGACTTGGTTTTCAGACTCAGCCCTCTGGATAACGGATCTCGGCCCTCCTTCCTGACCACAGTGTTGTTTTACGATTTGGACTTGGGTGATGGATCACGCACTCTCTCACTCCTGCTCCGCACAGGGTCCTAAACTACGCATCATGACAGTTCTGGGATTTACCAATAATATTCTCAACTCTTCACCTTTTGCATTTTGTTTTAAATGCACTTTATTTATAAAAGCTTGAATGAAATTAAAAAGTATTTTTTAAAACTTTTTATTTAAAAAATTTCCAGCTGTGCTGAAATTCAGTTCAATTTGTTTTTATTTGGTATAGTGCCCTTGTCATAGAAGGACTTTGCATTTTACAATGGTCAATTAGTATATTATAAAAGGAGTAATACACAGAACAAATGCATTAGCATTTGGTATTTAACAGGACAAAACAAAACAAAAGAGGTTCAGTTTCTCAGACAAATTGAGAGCAACTGGTCGAGAGATTTAGTTTTTATTTTCTTTTGCAGTACTGGTCATATCATTCATAATGCATTTTGTGTGCTAAATGATCAGCCTTCCCTTTCTGAAAATGCACATTTCATTGTTGAAATTAAATTATTGCTTTTCTTAAGTTTGTTTAAAGGTTCTAGTATACATATTCCTGTACTAATTAAATTGTTTTTCATTAACGGTGTTTCCCTCCCTGTGTTATCAAACTGCATGTGAGTCTGTCACAGAGTCTGTCCATAGGCTATGAAAAGAGGGAGTGTTGTGTAGACAGAGTCACGTTGCAGAGTGAAAAATCAGTGTGTGGGCAACAGGTGTCAAAGACCATGTTGACTTTAAATTTGCATAGAATGGCCAGTTTCTTGGTGAGGGTGGTGCATTTTGTGTTTCCTTGTTCTTGAGCTCCCCTCTGATCAAAGGTCTTCCTGGTGCAGACACTGGTTAATTATTATTATTCTTATTATTCTTCTTATTATTATTATTAATTACCACACAGCTCAGAGGTGTCTGATCGCAAGACACTTCTAACTGCCTCTCAGGTGCTCCAGAACAGGCTAAGAATAGAAAATGCATCGTTACACCAGGTTATCAATGAGCTACCAGCAGTTAGCTCTGCTGACAAGTCATTAAAGAGACACTTCCATCCCCTCGAGAACGGGTTCTGAGACCATGCCAGGGGGCTTCGTGAACCCCATACTGGAGGACTTATGGGGGCACTGACAGGATACAATTGAGGGGTGTCATAACCGCTGCATGTGGTACATCCTTGGAGAGAAACAAGTAGTGAAACAGCAATCTAACATGGTCAGGCAGCACTGGGAGCAGCAAGGCAGCCAAGCAAGGTAAACAAGCAGGCAAACACAGTCCGGGAGCGAACTCAGGAACAAAGCAAAGATCATAGCCGGTAGTAGACACAGTAGAAAGATACCGTGGCGGAGTCAGGAGTCCAGGAAACACAAGGTTGGAAAAACAGAAACTTTAAGAAAGGCTCTGAACCAACACTACACCAGAGTGAAGAGGACAGCCAGACTACACCTTTAATAACCTGAGCCACCTGATGCGGGCATTGTCGTAAGTCCCATGTCTGATTACATACCCATTACAACTGGCATGACTGACAGGTGAGTGGAGGTGTGGCCAACTGCCGTGGCAATACTAACTCACTCCACAGCTCTCCAGCAGGGTTGAGCATGACACAGGAGACACAGACTGCAGCACTGCACTGAGGACTGGACTCAGATACTAGTTACTTTACAGAGAGCAGCGGACAAAGACCCCAGCATCATCTTCCTCCCCCGCAACCAAAGCTGGATTCGGAAAAAAAATGGGTAAGCAGAGAGCATGACAGGATGCTTGAGACCACTGAAGGACCGCAGAGTTTAATCCCTGACTGGCTTCAGGAGATTAATGCTGCTAGACTTTTCCTTTGGGACACTGATGACGAGCAGCAGGGTGAGCTAGCATTGGCAGTCGGTTATATCACCGTCCGATCCATCTCCCGGGGCTGGTTGCCCCAGAAGTCAATTGACAGGAGATCCGGACCACCTGGAAACAATCTTAGGTCATGCCCATTTCAGATGGTTCAGAAAATACTTGGAGCCGACAGCTTGGGGCTCTGTCACAGAGTTCAGTCTCTGAGCCCCTCGAGTCCATAGTTCCCGTTTTCCTAACTTTGCCTGACTTTTGCCTGCCTTCCTGACTGCTGCTGTGATTTGTACTTCATTCCCGGGTTCCCCCTTGGCTTGCTAATTCACCCTCTTTTGTTCTGGACTTGTCCTTGCTACGAACTGCATGTTGCCGGGTTTCCTTGATTTTGACCCCTGCATTATCCTGACCGTGGCCTTTGGATTCCCCCCTCTGCTTTAGACTGTCTCGTCACTGGCTTTGACCCCGATCTCGATCCCCAGTTGTGCTTGTCCATGATCTTGGACTATGCTCATTTCCTGGTTTCTTACCCTGCTGCATCCTGCTAGCTGTGCACAATGCTGCACGTCCCCGAGTCCTAGCAGGCTTCAGCACCACTCAGTCTGCATACAGCTGCCTGCGCAGTTCCATGTGTGTGTGCGCCCTGCCCATGTACTGTAGTTTCCTGTGTGTGCTGACCATGTAGTTTCCTGTGTGTGTGCCTCTTGCCTGCACAGTTCCCTGTGTGTGTGCGCTGTCCATGTAGTTTCCTGTGTGTGTGCCTCTTGCCTGC